AAAAACAATCACCCACCCGCACACACACACTGCATTTAGTTTGATCCCTGCTGTTGTAGTCACTAGTGTTCCTAATGAACTGATATACAAACCATCCAACCTTCAAAATGACTCTGATTTAAAAGAGAACCAGTGTCCTGTCAGGAAGAAGAAAAAAGAGTAGAAGATGTTCAGAACTTTGTCGTCAGGTTTACTGTGGGCTTGATACAACACTGGTTTGTATTAGGACTGCGGTAGCTAATGTTAGCTTAGGCGTCTGTTCCACGACTGTGAAAGCTAACATTATCTCTGGTGTCTGTACAAGGACTGTTGTAGCTGACATTGTTTGTAGCTAATGTTGTTCTGTTCTGTCGATGTTTTGAGCCAATGTTGTTCTGTTCTGTCGATGTTTTGTGTTGAGGTAAGGCTTGTTGTGCTGCATCGATGAGAAAACATGAGAAAACCAAAATTAGCATAATGAAAAGTTGTCAGTTGTTTACTTATCATAAACAAAAGGTTTCATTTCTTGTTCACCCTTGTTCTTCCAGTTCTACTTCTCAAATATTTGCATAAAAGTCTGTTCTCGATGAATCTCTCTAAATAACTCTGCACTTGACTTCAGCGTCTGCTGAAAAAATATATTCCGCAAATATTTAGACAGACAGGAAACAATCATTTCGTTCCACTGTGTAAAAAAACCCAAGACTGTTTCCTTCTTATTGGAACACATTTGTTGTTGGCTGTAATTGGCCTCAAAAGCATTACCAGGCAATACCTACAGTGTTAATCGATATTCTCTCCTGTCTTTATTTATCTCCTTATTTCTTTTTTTGGCACAGGAATCATTTAGTTGTCACTTAAGTTGACAATGGCTGTGTGTCCACAATCACTTCATCAATTGCCCTCTTACTATGTCCTCTCTTTCGTGGACACTTTACTCAATACCATGCAGTAAATTGAGACAGGACTGGGCCGTTGGTTTGTTAGACGGGTTTGGATTAAACGCTCTCTCCTCCTCCTTGTCATCATCTTTGTCCAGCCCACAGATTAAGTCAGTGGTTCCCAACCTTTGTTGGCTTATGACCCCATTTTGACATCGTCATTTCTGGTGACCTTTGGAGAATTACTTTTTGATCATGTTTGTTATACTGTGTTGCAAATACTTAGTGTTAATTTAAAAAACACTAGTAATTAGTTAAAAAAAATTATTAGATACTAGAGATTCCAGGCAACCACATTTGAATTCCAGGCGAGCACCACGTTAAACAACACTGGATTAAGTATAAAGATTTTGATCAGAATCCAGGCAAGACGACACCATTGATTTGAATTGATCATAACATAGTGCCTCATAAAGGTTACACAAAGTGCTACATATATGAGTCCCTCACTGGGGGGAGAGAGGGGATGATCTGTATGTCTACAATATACACAGCTGTGTCAGGGCATTGATTGTTCAGACATCGTTTCCTTGCAGGCTTTGTGTCCTTTCCATAATCACCCACTCCAGTAGGGTGTTCTCTGATAATCACAAGAGCATGGAGAGCAGTACAAGAAATAGCAGTGACAACCACTGATCACAGTAATAATTGTGCCATACCTTTGTAAACCTGCTCGTCTTAGATAGATAGATAGATAGATAGATAGATAGATAGATAGATAGATAGATAGATAGATAGATAGATAGATAGATAGCCCTTTATTAATCCCTTGGGAGTTCTCTTTGGGAATTGTAGTCTTTGCTCATTTTAAAAAGATTCTCCATCATGTACATGTCCGTGTTCTGTGGTAGATCTAAAAAACATATGCAAACTACCACTGATTAAAGGACAAGACAAAAGTGATTCTTATCTTCTCTTGGCTCTGTAACAGCTAAAATAAAATCCATTAGAAGCTTCCGGAATACATCGATAATCCCCATTTCTTTAATATGTGGACACATAAAGATGTTTAATAATGCATTCTAGAGTACTTTAAACCATTTTACTTAAATCAATCAAAAAAACGAAACTGTTAAACTGCCTGTCATTGTCTACTCAAAGTTAATAATACAAGTGGCTATTAAATTTAACAGAGTGAAACAACTTAATAGCCACTTTTTTCTCTCTCTACTTGTCTTGATGATCTTTTTTACTTATTTTTTTTTATGTTTAGAAACCTCAAAGTAACAAAGTATCTCCTGTACTGCTGTAGCAAATATCAAAAACTTTGGGCCGAGAAGCTTGATGTTAAATCAATGCAGTTCAAAATGTGGTGAACTGTTTACAGCCTGAAAGAGGTTTTGAGATTGACAGAAGTTAGAAAGACCAAGGTTGGGCTTTTCTTCTTAACTTTTTCCATTTTCTCTGAAAAAACAAACGAAGTAGAAAGGCCTCAACCATCGCTAGTAGACGTGTCACTTTGACAAAAAGTCATCCAGGGGAAACACACAAAAAAGTTTTGTTCTTTTGCCAGATAAATTGAGATTATAGTACACTACCAAATTATTGATTGTCATTTCAAATTAATGTTATTATTTAAGGTTTCTTATTGAATTAACATGTCCAGTTTTTAACCAAATATCATTATTTGACTCATTAAGTAAATCTTTGAATTGAAATAGATTTTGACTAACTAACTAAACTGTTGGACATACATGTAAACTTAAAGGTAATCTTTTTTTTTGTTTGTACATTTTTCATCTGTGTATAATACACAATTACTGCAAACTCACAGTACAGTTACAGCTATTAAGGTCAACATTTGAAGACATTTTTGGCTTTGAACCTCTTCATCTGGTCCATTGTGGGCTGTATATGCAGTGTGTAGATTGTGTACCAGCATTTCTGGTTTATAAAATGCTGGTTCACAGGTTAAAGTTCGCCTGTAAAAATGGCAATGATGATTTTAAAATGCATTGTTCTAAGTTTGAGTTTCGATCCACAAATGAAAACATTTCAAAGCCCAAAGCTCGAATGGAGATTAATTCTGTGGATGAAAATTCAAAGCCTTTTTCACTAGAGTATTATTTTAATAGTGAGGAAAAATGAAATCCAATAAAAGTAATTATTAACTGAGACCAAAAGCGGTTGTGCTGAACAAGAAATGAAATGTTGATGATAATGTAATGGCCCTGACCCTCAAGTATTGAACAGAGGACTTTAAACACATGAATTTAATCATTTAAACTGCAGCATCTCATTCATTTTTTTTATAACTTGTTTTTTTTTTTTTCATTCTTTGTATTCATATTTTCCTGATTCACTGCCGTCTCCCCCACACTTTTTCCTTCTTGTGACTGTTCCGCCTTAGCTTCCCTAACACCAATTATACTGTGTCAAATCCATGCATGTCAGTTTCCAGATCCCTAATCATCCCGTCTCTCTTTCATCTGCAAATCCTTTGTTCCTCCTCCCCCTTCCTCTCCCTTCCCTCTAGTCCTTCTTCCTTATCTACTTGGTTCCTCAACCCACCCCTGTGTCTGCCATGTACCCAGAGCCCGTGCCCCTCATCCTCCTTCCATTTAACTGTGTTACATTCACCCGTTTGTCAGTTTTATACCTGTCCTTCTGTCTTTGCTCCTTTTCAGTGCGAAAACTCACGTCATAATGTGTTGCCAGTTTCTCATATTGGGAGTCTGGAGTTGCCCTCCGGTCACTTGTCAGTAAAAGTCACAGGGGGTATTCCTCCCAGGTCGAACCTTGTTTTTTTTCTGTGAACACTGCAGTGATGTCAGATACACTGTCTGTCTGTAACATTGTTCCTCAGAGTTACCTGTGGATACTTTGATTCCTCTGAGACAAATGTTGCCTCGTTGTGATGCACACATATATAGAACGTTTTTCTCTGAGCTGACCCTCCCCCAGACAGCATCCTTTTTTGTTGTTGATTTTCCTCTTCCTTTTCTTCTTCTCCTTTTCTTTTTTTTCTTTAACTCATTCTTCCCTTTCCTCTTTTTAGTCTTTAGTTTTTTAGTCTTTGTTTTCATCATTTTCCTCTCCTGTCTTCCTCTCCATGTTCTTCTTCATCTCTTCTTCTTTTCTTCTCTCTTATCCTCTCATTATTTTATTTGTTCTTCTTTTCCTTCTCGTTCTTTAAGGTGAATTATCTTCCTTATCGTTTTTGTCTCTTACCCAATTTTTCATGCTGTTGGGCTTGGAAATTTCAAGCTTCATTTTTTTAGGTAAAACACTGCAAATTTACATTTTCACTTTCATTCAGACCAAAGAGAACTATTTAGGAAAAAAAAATCACTTAACATTTTTCCATCTTCGTGTCTAAAAGGAAAGATTGTGTGGAGGTTGAGGCGGTTTGTCAGTTATATTAAGTTTGTTATATTTAATATTTAAGTTGTCGTTAGTCTGTTCAACACTGGAGTGAATTAGTTATCATTTCTGGGTCCTTTAATCTGGAATCAGATGGGAATCTTCCAGGCTCAGGAGACTCATATGGAAAGGTGTGCTGTTGTTGTGACTGTAGTAGGGAGGGGGAGGGGCTAAGAGGGAGATGGGGAGAGAGCTGGAGAGGTAGAGGGAGGGGTTTGTTTATTTCTGTTGTGGTGTTTTTTATGGAAACTGCGCCTCCCAAGCCCAGAGGGAAAAAGAGGAGGGAGAGAAGGAGCAGAAATGATGGAGGACGAAGGACGATGGTTAGCAACATGATGCGCCGTGACCAGACGCCAGACAAACGCAGGACCGGGGATGCAGTCAGCGACACATGAAGGCGTCAGAGGCAGAGCGTGTGTGTATCTCTCCGCCGCTCGCCGCTCAAACAATGAACGTGCTGTGGTCGCTGCCGGCAACACATCGTCACGGCAACCGGAGCCAGAGGGGTGCGCAGGGAGAGCCAGGGAATGGTCGAGGAGAAAGGGGGGGGGGGGAGGGAGGATGGGGAAGGATGTGTCTAAGATTCACTCTAAGTGTGTGTGTGTGTCTGTCTCTGTGTGTGATTGTTCTCTCCCTGCTCGATGATGTGTGTTTGTGTGTGGTCGGTGTGTGTTCGTGGCCGGCTGTCTGACACTATGATTTTGTGTAATCATCTAGGTGAATACAAGAAGGATGAGCTGCTGGAGGCGGCGAGGTGAGTACAAGGCTCTTTGTTTTTGTTTCCTCTCCTCTCTTCTTGGTTGTATCCTTTTTCTCTGTCTTTTTCACCTCTTCACCTTTTATCAACTCCCATCTCTTGATTATTTCCTCCCCCTACTCCTCCCGTTCCACCTCCGTCTCCTCCTCCTCCTCGTCTCCTGTTTTGTTTTCTTTGGTCTCCACTGTTGTCTCCCTCATGTACATGATTTCCTTCTTTTCTTCCTCTTCCTTCACTCTGCTCTTGTTTCCTCTAACATTGCCCTTTCCCAATGTTTGAGTCGTCCATTTGCTATTGTTTTCAGTGTTCCTCCTTCTGTTATGCAGTACACTCGTCTGTTTCTGGCTCTTTTCTTCACCCTTGTCTCTTCTCTTGTGTATCTAGATCCCGTTGTTCAGTTCCTGTTTTGTTTTGTTTTTAACCATAGATTACCATTTTCTGTCACTTTTCCCTGAACTCCATCTGCACCTGCTTTATATTTTCTCTCATTTCCATCTTTTCTCCTTTCAATATTCACGCACTGATATTTACTAAGCAGACCCTGAATTCCATCATTTTATTGGACACACACAAACACAGACCATCGGCTCGGGCAGCTATTCCTTTCAGGACCACAGTAAAACCAGGATATAATTACTAATCTTTAGCATTCATAGGCATTCACGCCAGAAAGGATTTAAACAAAGCATGTTAGTCAGTTAGTTTCAAGATGTAAAAAATGTCCGAAAGGAAACTTGAAAAAAAGATTGAAACTAAGTTTTGCCTATAATTAGTTTATAGCACTAAAATATAGCATGATTTAGCAAAACACATCATGCCAAAAATGCAATACATATTAGCCATTTTTTTTCCAAAATACTAAGCTAGATATTTTGTAAAACAAGGACTAAAAAATTTGCTCTTAAGAATAAAAAAACTGCCCAAATTATTATCATAAATAAGAAAATAATGTAAATAACTTTGAGCTAAAAGGTTAGCTAAAACAAAAAAAAGTTCTACAAAGGATCACCAGAATGTACCACAAAAAGCTGTTATTGTTGTCAACTAATTTTAAATGTCAATGAATTCTGGAAGCTGAAAGTTTTTGAAAGGTGATTAAATTTGACCTGGACAATTGGGCACAATCCTCTCAGAGTCAGGGCTATTCATAATGTTGGAGGCATTTTATTAATGCAATCATGGGCTTGCCTGGGCTTATTTGTGTTTGTGTGTGTGTTTGCATCCTCTTGTGGGTTCCCTGTTCATGTACATGTTTTTTGCATGGGGATTGGGGTTGTTGTTGTTGGCAACTGAGTGCTCAGCCACCCACTCTCCAATCCCAGATGAGAGCTATGGTTTTTCCACATGCAAAGTAGTCAACACACACACATGCACACACACACATAGACACGTAGAGAAGGAAGCATCTGTCCCATCATCCCAGTGTCTGGGTGTATTCTAAGGCCAGCAGGCTGTTTCAGCGTGACCTGTGAACTCAGTGTTCTGCTCTCACAGCTGAGCCACCGAGCGTCTCATCAGCAGTGTCATTTATTTTAAACAAACACAGCTTCTTCATGTTGGTGTTTTCTCACACCACTCACACATGGCTTGCGGGACACTTTGTTTCTCTTTTTCTTCTGTGGCCCAGATTACATCCCTGTTCTTCTTCTGTGGCCCAGATTACATCCCTGCCAGCATCAGAAGAACGCTGTCATGGTTTTTATGGACACCTTAGCTCTGCAGTTCTTAATCCACTCCTCCCACAGGTCCTCTCATTCATTCTTCAGCAACCAGTTTACATTTTACTCTGACTTATAGTTATAGAATATGTTTTCTCGCACAACAGATAGCAAACATCTCTCTATAATTTACCCAATAATGAACTAAAATTCCCCTGGATTTGTAGAACTGGTCCAGACCAAAACTGTTAAATCAATTAGATTTTATCACAAAAGCATTACCTTTCAGCTATCAACGTTTTACATGAAGCTAAAAGGTAGTGACACAGTAGTCAAATAAAGACTATTATCGTTATTATCCTATAATATATATATTATCCTATAGATAAAGCTAAAAGTAAAAAAAATAGTTTATAAAAGAAAAACCAATGATAAACGCTTCATAAATATTGTAAAAGCTAAAGGAGAGTCAAATTTAGGGGAATTATATTCCAAAAGTTTAGCCCAAACTCTGGACAACATGTAACCAAACATTGTCAAGTTATTACTGAGTGTAACATTAACTAAAGATTAGCCAATCTAATCTTTACCTGAATGGTATCCAAGAAATTTGTTATATGTTTTCCAATAGTTTGTAAAGAAAATGAGGTCTGAGGTCTGTTCTGTAAGCAGCACAGATGAAACCATTTCAAGTCCTGAACTCAAAAAGTCAAAAAGTTAAGAGTCTATCATAAGTGTGCAAGTCAATTGTGGCAAAGGATTCTTGCTGCTGATCATTCAGTCAGGCTTTTTGTGCGAGACATCAAACCCACTCAAAGATCCATATATCACGCATAAACAGGCATTCAGGGTGAAGAGATGAGAGAAAAAGAGCGACTCTCCCTGCTATAAGTCAGCCTGCTATCAGGACTGTAAAGGGTAAGGGTTTTCTAAGGTAAAGCAGATGCATAAAATCCATTCAACTTTGAAGTGATTTCCAGGACTGTGAGATAACGGAGATGTCAAGAAAGTTGAAGGATAGTGAGATGTGGAAGCCGAGCTGCAGCATCTTTGTACTTTACTGTTTGTTTTGTTTTTTTTATATAAATAAATGACATCATGCTCTGCTTGGTCTTGGTAACATTATTTCTTTATAGTATTGTTTATTAATTATTGCCAGACGGTGATTATAATATATAAGCTTAATTAGTCACATTGTTATGCTCAAAATTTAATAATGAATGTTTTATAATTGTAATTCTAATTCTACAAAACGTCTACATTCCACATTGATGAACTTGACCCAGTTAACATCTTCTTTTGTAAAGTCCGTTGAGGCAAATAGTTGTTGTGAATTTAGTCCTTCTGTTCAAATTCCCATGAATTGTCCTGACCTTCATGGAGAAGGATGTGATACAAACGAAGCAAAAAGACTTTACTTTTGGCCATCCTTTCAAAACAAAAGCAGCAACAAAGAGGAGAACTTTGGACAGTAATCCTTTTCTCAGCATCTTCTAACTTTACGACTGTCAAAGGGGATGATGGGTAGATTGGCCATCGCCTTAGTAACGCTCCCCAGTGGTCGTCTATTGGCACGTAAACAAAACACTAGCTCCTGTGTAGCTGAGCTGACGTGCTGCTGTCAGTTTAAAAGAACACACACACACACACTTCTAAGCCACCCCCTGAAACCTTTTCTTCACTTCACACACTACTGCAGATGAAATTTCTCACCCCCCCACCCCCCCCCCCCCTATGACAGCCATCACGCTACAAATAAGGATATCACCTTTTTCCTCCCCCCTCACTTGCCTGCAGAGCCACTGTGTTAATGCTGTGCCATGGTAGTTTCCAGTGTGTAATAGGTGTGTGTTTGTTTCTGTGTGTGTGTGTGTGTGGAAAGGAGTGGGAACGAGGAGAAGCTGATGGCTCTGCTCACGCCGCTCAACGTCAACTGCCACGCGAGCGACGGCCGCAAGGTAAGAACAGAGCCATGCCGGGTCATGTGATGCTGTTGCCCTGCTAATGTTTGCTGTTGATGGAACCTGAGGGCAAAGCAGTTTCCTTTGTTACAGGACAAACTGCTGACGTTTTTCACATTAATTTTAAAACCACCTGCAGCAAAAAAACAGCTGAAAAGATTTAGTTAAGGATCTGTGTGGGTTCTAAGGTGTGGAAAATGGTTAGTGCTAACGTTCAGCTAAATACTGACAGACCAGGGCAGTCTGTTTAAGTTTGCTGTTAAATGTATTTTGAGGATTTGTTTTATAATTTCAGAGCTTTTAGCTAATATTTAGCTATTTGTGGGCTGTTATAGTTACATTTATTGACATTTATGCATTTAGCAGACACTTCCATCCAAAGAGACTTACAGGTGGAGGTATAACAATCAAGAATGTGGTTCTCCCTGGGAATCAAACCCAGGACTCTCTGCTTCTGAGGCAGGCTTGTTAACCGCTAAGCTATGGAACCACCCTAGTAACATTTATAGGAACAGTTACCTGCCACTGATATTTATACACATTTGCATACATTTATTACATTTTCACCTCACTTTTTAAAATCTATTGGCTAATTCTTTAGTGGCTATTTTCGCTAGTTCTTTAGCTAACTTTTTACCAATTTGATTTTTTCACCTAATTTCATTGGGTTATCATTTTGTTATTTTTCTTTAGCATTTTACTAATGTTAAGTAAAATGTAACTTACATTTTAGTCTTTCTGTTTTTTATTAGCTATTGTTTATTTTTTGGCTTGTATTTTATTATCTTTAGACCTCTTTAGCGTACTGTTGACCCCGTTAAGCTTTATCATATCTCTAGGCTAATCTTTGGCCGTGTACAGTAGCCTGCAGTATCTGAGCTGTATTGATGTCCAATAATCTGTACAGCTTGAAACATTTGATTTAATTCAGTTTCCTGTGATTGGAACTGATTAGTACCGTTTCAGTAAAACCATCAGTGACGATCTGGTAAATTAGGAGCTACTTCACTGTAAAACTCATTTTTGGAGCACCGCGATGGAAAGAAGGATTTTGATGTATTTTCAGGCTAGAAGATTGAAAGTTTCCTGTGGTGTTCTCTTCCTTCCTGTGTGGAGTGTGTAACCCCGATGTAATTACCTGTATGCCACACCGGGTTGACTAATAGCCCATCGTAGTGTACTGTTGTGCTAAGGCTGTATATGCAAGTTAATTCCAGTCTTCATTAGGGTTTCAGAGTGTGGCGTTGAGACTTTAGGGCATCAGAAAATGCTGGGTCGTGCTAAATGAAAAAGTTGGCCAGTGGAGAAAAGTGATATATTACACTCTGTTCACTCTAAAAAATATGTTGTGAGCGCAGAATCCCTTCCCGGTTCTTCGGGGAGCCTTCGGCCTCAGGTCCCTCTTCACTTCAAATGGCTTGTGACTGATTAAAAACCTTTTGGATGAAAACCTAGGAAGGAAAAGCAATATTCTTTCTCCCAGTTTTGTTTCCTCCCATCCTTGATGTTTTTAATGTCACTGTTTCATTGTCAGAAGTCTGAACTTCCACTGATTCAGTTTTTTTTTCTGTGACAGTGAACGTCAAGCCACGTCGCTGCGATGGCAGCTTTTCTAAATAGGTTTAAGTTCTCACTGCTTTCTCCTGGGGCTCTGCTCTAAACTGTTTTTATTGTCAGACCCGAAAAAGGCTTCTGAAGCATGGCTCGAGGTTATCACACTCTCGGAAGACTCTTTATCCCAAATGTACAGCTGGTGCACTGCTATTCAACTGTCCTGCCTCTTATACAAACTCAATTTCCAGAGAAGTGGCTGCACTTGTTCAAAATGTCGTCAAAACTCAAACCTGGAATTTGGTTCCACCAAAACTTTGCTTATCAAACGATTCGACCAAATATTATATAAAAATACTTGTTCCAAAGTAAGTGTTGCAGAAACAGATTTTGCCCTTGTCTATATTTTTATTTCTATTTCTTTTTCCCACTGAGCCAATCCCCATAAAGAGTAAGTCCTTGGTTGATTTAGAGTGAAAGATTACCCTCACTTTCAGTCTGTTGCGGCTGTTTTTTATATATATATATAAATATATATAAAATCTTCAAAGCTTTCCTTCTTTTTATTAGAACGCAATATTTTTTAGAAGGCGCCCTGTCTTTGAAGCGATCATAGCTCGGTGACGAAGAATTGAATGTGAAGTATGTAGCATAAGACACGGCATGTGGCAAATTCCATACAGGAAAACCAGGGATCGAGACAAACTTCCCCTGGAAATTAATCAATTAATAATGATAATAATCATAATAGTCAATATTATGTTAAATATCATATAATTCATAAGCAACAGGTCATGTTCACAATATTTTAATCCACAATCACACTTCCTCAGTGTAAGGGCGTTATTTTGAGTCTCAAAATAAGGTTGCTGATATCAGAGTTGGGTTCTGTTGCTGTATTAGCAGTGTGCTAGTGTGTGCTAAGTGTGAGCTTTTCTGTAGATGTAGTTTTTAAATAATTGATTGGAAGCCACGTCAACACCATAAACGAGGCATATAGTCATACTGGTGAGGATTTAATGGTCATTAAAACCAATCCCAGTACATTTCAGTGGATGAGCCAATGGGAGTTTTTAACATCACACTTTTGGTAACAGTCTGGAGGAGGCTGCTCCCTGTAATTATCCATGCTTCACTGTTGTTGATGACGGTGATGCTCAGCTGCAGCGTGCATTCATCACATCACCATCATATCCATAATAGCAAAGGCACATCCTCAGGCTATTATCTATGCAGGTGGTCTGCTGCTGGGGATGTGGGCCCCTCAGGGAAAACCTGCAGAATTTGGACATTTTTTATGCCATGCTGCAGGAAAAGGAACATCGCATGGAGGCGTTAAAAAGTGATAATTAGATCAAGGCAGCCATGTTCAGTATATAAATATTAAGAGTTTTGTTAAAATGACTTTAATGACTCCTACAACCATCTGTTATCTTCATGCGCTCCATGTGCTTGGATGGAAGCACAGAACAGGAGATAACAGGATCTTCACAGCAGTGCAGTTATATCACTGTTAAAGTCTTATAATGATTTAAATATACTGTAACTTTAATTATTTTTTACCCTATACTGATGTAAATGAATAACTATTTTTGGGGAAATTAAATGTATGTACATACTGTACATATGTTCCTATGTCATTCACCAACACAGTTGTAACATTATAATCTGGGACATAAAAACATCAGGACAGTCTGAGTTACGTTTGGGAGCCACGATAAAGGTCAAGTTCCCAAAAATCAACATAAACGAAAAAGCAAGTGAATGTAGCACAATATAATGTACGCTGTACAACTGGCAAATATGAACAAAGCCGTCTTCCACGTATAGCGCTGCTTGGCAATGTATTCATCTGCTTAGCTCGCCGTGGATTGCATAGGAGATGTTGACATAATCTTGTAATGCCGTAGGTTAAGGACGTCGTAATCCCAGGACCTGCTGTATTTCTATTGGTTAAAAAAAAAACAAAAACAAAAAAAACCAAATTCAAACTAAATCAACGAGATGTCACATCAATATTGAGAGACTTGGGTGGTTAGCATTACCTTCCTTGTGCCCAGGCACAGAGGCATTCATAGTCTATTGACAACACAATAGTGAGAAGCACTTGTTTTATTTTGTAGTTTTTGGACAAAGATGGGGGAGTGGTGGCTTAGTGGTTTCAGGTTTGAGTCCGCCAGCTGCCAAGTTACCACTGAGTCCCCACACACTGATCCCTGGGTTCTTAAAGCTGCCCACTGTTCACTTTGGTGATGGGTTAAAGCAGAGGTCACATTTGGTTGTGTGCAGTGGTGTGCTGTGTCACAGTGACAAGGAGTTCACTTTGCGTTCCTCCTTACAATAATAAGCCAAACCATGTAACTTCTCTCTCGCAGGAGCCTTCTAGCACGGTGTGTCAAAATAAGTGCAGTGTCTGCTTTGTCTTGTGCAGTCACAAAGGCATTGAAATAAGGTAGACAACAGGACTGGAAAAACAACACAGCTTAGCTTCTCTTAAACTATGAAAACATACAATTCTCACCTTCCAGATTTATTTTCCACCATTTTCTGCTGAGGACAACTGCCTCCCCTGATGCTAACAGAAAAGCAGCTACAGTAAATACTACTACAGGGCTAACTGGAATAATCTTTAATTAAAACAATAGCTTTTTCTGTTGCACCTGTTTCTGGCATTAAAATAAAAAAATAAAACCAATCATAAATTATTATATCTCAATAAGAATCTGGCATCCACACCAAGCCCCCACCCCCACCCTCATAGACACACGTGCAGAGCTTGTACACACAAACATGTTGTTTTTCAGGAGCCTCCTGGTGAATTAAAATGCTCAACTTGTTCGCCGTGCACACTCACAGAAGAGAAGGGTGGGGGGAGGGGGCAGACACGCAAGATTAAGAGAAAGCAGAAAGCATTAGATTGCTAACCCCCGCCCCCTACCCCCGCAAAATATGCAGACACCCACCCCTCGATCACATCGCTTTGGACAAGAACCATTTCTTTCCCTGGAGCCCAGGTCCATAATATTGATGAGAGCATTTCCATAACACTGACTGGTCCTTTAGAGCAGCTTTGGGCTGGTGAATGGGCAGAATTCAGTGTATGGCTGTAATTTCCTGGTACCAACATATAATGTGCTCTGTTCATCCTTCTGCTGGAACCATTTATTTGACTTCTTTGTGTTTTTGTGGATGGATTTTTAGGAAGAGCTTCTTGTTCTCGTGCTGGTACTGCCTGCACTCCTCTGCAGTACAGGCAGTACCAGCTGTACAACAGAGTTTGTGTGTGTGTTTTTGTGTGCCTGTGATCGTCAGATGACTGAGTGGCCATCAGAGTAGGATATTGTTATCACATCTGAGCACTGAGCTGCCTTGCTTGAATTGTACCGCTGTTAAACTCCCACACCTGTTTAACTTAAAGACGCTCCACATCAAAACCTAAAAAACAG